GCCTCAGTGTCCCTGCCGTCCAGCTCGGCGAGGGACAACCCGGGTCCACGGCCCGGATCGGTGGTGGAGCTTCCAGAGAGTCCTCGCAGCCTTCTGTGACGCTGAGCTGCCCCACTGATGGCCTCTCGCAAGGTTTAAATTTAAACGCGAGTGTTTCCCCTGTGTTGGGCAGGTGAACAGGTGTGTGAACCGAATGCAAAGGTTCCGGCGTTAAAAGCCAGACGTATTTTGAAGGTGGTTCATCTTTTGTGCCCAAAGTTAAACGTGGGTGAAGCGTTTCTGCTCAGTAGGGTGGAAGAAATGGCCTTTTGGTCAACAGCTGCCATCGGTTAAGTGCAGCAGTCAGTCTGCCCCAGGTTTTAGTGCAGTTCTTAGAGTTAAGACAATTTTTTAAGGTATGTGGATAATATCTAGCTTATTCTTGTGTGCTACAAGGCCTCGGTGACAACCTGGGCAGCAAGGTTCAAGGCCAGGCTGTGGAGAGCATTTCCTTCCTTGATACAAACGTGACCCTTTAAAGTTCAGCGGTCCCACGTAGGCGTAACTCCAGAGGCGATAAATAAGAGGGAGCTGAAATGAAGAGACGTGACTCAAGCGCAGAAACCAGTCCGTTGGCTAACACACGTCTTTGGGCCGGCAGGATGTGTGAGGCTCTGACACCATTGCTTCTTCTCAGGTGTAAAGTTTGGTAAAGACGCCAAACGCTCGTGGTGGTTGGCAGCGCCGTCGCTGGCACCCCAGGACCGGACAGTGCGGCTCTTCACCGAAGCTTTTCAACATCTAGGAGCCTGATGAAGAGGTGGACACGTTATTGTTAGCGTGGACGTAGAATTAAATATCCTCAGCTCACAGTTCGCTTTCCAGAGTTTTTTAAGGACGTTTGCTTTGTCCGTGTTTTGTTTTGTGGGCTTTCTGGTTTTTAGGATGAGCAGAGCGAGAGATGGTCTTGCAGAGAAAGAGCTTGGTCGTGTGGTTTGGTAACGCAGGCCCATCAGGCACAGGAGGTTGGTTTGAGGTAGAAGGGGCAGCTTTTTCTGGCTGGAGGACAGGGATAGGCCGGATGGATTTTCCCAGAATGTGGGAAAGAGGGGCTGGGTCAGTGCTGAAGGTCCTTTGAGGGAGGAAAGCCAGGAATCTACGAGCTGTGACCGACAGATTAGCTCTGTGATGCAGGAACTTGCAGCTCGGGATCTCAGCAAGGTGCAGCAGGAGTTCTCAGTGATCGTGTTGTGTGTGGGTGCCTGGGGTGTCTGTTCTGTGACTCGAGGCAAAAATATGTTTGTCTGACTTCAGGCAGCACGAAGCTTATATACAGCAGGGCCCTGGGTTTCCCCCACAGTTGGGGGAAAGTGGTGTTTAAAGCCTGTTTTCCTAGGAAAAAACCCAATGTTTCTGTATATTATATTATATTATATTATAGGTTTTCAGCTCAAGGGTGAATTTGCTTGTGCATCGCCATTTTCATAAAACGACGGTCCTGTGAGGCGTGTACATTTTCTCAAGTAATTGTGAAAAGCGTATTGCCCCGTTTTGGGCTGCAGCTCGGGTTTTATCCAACGGAACTTGTACGCGGCTGCAGTTTTTATGGACAACTCTTCGCAAACCAACCTCCGGTGTTTCTTGGCAGCCCTGGGATGTGTTCCCGGACCGGTGAATGCCGACTGTTTGCAGGGTTCTTTCTTTTCCTTGGCTCTCTCAGACTCTGTGCTGACCTGATCTTACGTTTTCATTGCAGAAATGTCTCATCAGTGGCATATGGCTTCTATCCAGAAGATACCCGGTCCCTGCAGTCCAGAGGGGTACAGTGTACAGAATGAGCAGGCCTGTTCTAGAGATCCATCAGGTTGGTGAATGGATTCATTTTGGTTTATTTCAGGCTGAAGGTGCTTTCCCATTCGAGTACTGGTCTACCAGGTGTGTGGATACGTTTCTGAGAAGCACCAGTTCTGGGTAGAAAGTTTCCACTTCCTAAGGTGTAGCTGATGAATTCAAGGATGTTTGTACTGGCTGAGTCCAGGTGGCGGGGTTCAGGAGTGGGGCTCTGGTAACTTCATCTACCGAATTTTCTAAGCCTGAGCTAACCTCTGGAGTTAAACTTCCTCTGGAGAAGCGGCTTTTTTAGTAGCTGTACAGATGTACTTCACAGGGCATTAGAAACGCGTTGGACATCTGTTTTGAGCATAAGTGGCTTCTTTTTCAAGGTAGCTCTATGTTTTCTGCAACTTTTAATACATTAGAGGTGACCCAGTGCTTGGCTTAAGTAAATCTACTTGGCTGGCTTTGGTACTTGTTTAATTCAATGTCTCTTTGGATTCTACAACATGTAATGATTTTCTTTAGTCTAGATGCTACTCTTCTGGAGGAAGAAAGGGTTTTATATCAGGTTTTGTGGAGAACATCAAACAGGAATTAGCAAAAAACAAGGAGATGAAAGAAAGTATTAAAAAATTCCGAGATGAAGCTAAGAAGCTAGAAGAATCTGATGCGCTTCGAGAAGCGAGGAGGAAATATGTAAGTCTTCCTCATGAATTCCTCTGATGTTTTCATTGCCCAGTCACTGAGCTATTGCTGTTCTGAATGTAAATTTGAATCTTTCTGCAAAGGAACTGTGTAGTTCAGCGTGCCTGTTTTTGAGAAGTTCTGCTTGGCTGGAAATACTGACTGGTAAATGGATGCCTTAGAGTGATGGTTTGGTTTTGGGTTTTTTTTTTTTTAGTGGAAAATCTTTCCAGCAGACCCTTCATTGAATTTCCCAAATAACGAGCAGATCAAATAATGAGACATTAAATTTAACGTTGACAGTATTTAAATGCTTCTTTTGCATTCTTTGGAGAACTATGACAGCATTACTGGCAAAAATGAAAAGCTGACGCTGGTTACTCAAGTAGCGTGCTCCCGAAGATGTGGCTCTTTTTGCTCTCAATCACAGTGTTAATGGGGTGTGCTATGTGCTGAACGGTTTTTGAGTATTTTCTGTCCTCATAGTTGTATGTTGTTGTTTTTTTTTTTCCACAGAAAACCATTGAATCAGAAACAGTGAAGACCTCAGAAGTGATTAAAAAGAAACTTGGAGAAATAACTGGTACAGTTAAAGAGGTAAAACACAGCTATGGAAGAGCCTTTCCCTGAGGCAGTTCTGCTCTAAGATGGTGTGTTTGTGTGCATTCCAGTTACCACCCTTTCTTTTCCCTTGCTGAAAGGTGGTTGCTGTTCCAAAAGCGATGGCGATTCTGAATCTTTAAGGCCAGAGTCATTAACAGAATTGTGGCACTAGTGCGTGGTAGATTTCTTATTCAGGGAGTGTGTGGTCAGGGGACAGGCACTGCCCAGCGATTCCTTTCAGATGGGGAGACTGGAGATGGTCCCTATGGTTCTGCGTTGTCTGGCAGTAAGCAAAGCCTCAAGGTGGTTCTTCCACTGGAGGGCAGTTAGAGCGGCGCTGGAAGATCACCCTGGGAAGTCGTTTAGGAGATGTGATGCTCTTCACACTGGCACTTTTTGCTGGGGCTTTGGGCTTCTTCCTGCCTGTTGGAAAAGACTTGGGACATGAGAGGCTCCAGGTGTTGTGACAGAAGTGCTGGTGGTGTAGTTGGAGCGCTCTCCTCCAGGTTAGCGTGCTGCAAGTGATCCCGCGGCTCTGTGTGGTTGGGAGTAACAAAGTGCCTGGCGGAGCAGGCGTCGTTCGTACCCAACAGGGATGAGTGTCTTCCATTCCAAGCTCAGACTTCGAAGATCCCTGTGTCTGTGCAGATCTGCTTTTAAGCAATTCAAGTTCTTTTTTAGGCGGTGACTAAGCACTGCAGCTGCTGCTCCTTTACCTCATCTCTCCTCCGAGTTCATCCAGGCAGCAGGTGTGTTTCAGTGTTCAGTGTGCTTTGACTTTTATCTCCGGAGTGAATTTCTGAGGAGTCTTCCTGGTAGTATTTTAAATATGGACTAAATCAGGTGCATGTGGCACCTGTAGAAGCTGATCCACAGGGTTACGGTAGCTGTGAATTCAGCTGGTACAAAACTGGGCTCTTTGGGCAATCCTCAGTGGGGTGCAGGACCTTTTATTCCTCATTCCCTCTTTTCTGCCCCTTTCTCAGCGTGGGCACCGTTGTGAAGTCAGTGAGTCCGCATCCGTTTGGTGTCTCCCTCCGTTGCCTCCAGAGGAGGCAGGGGATGACTCGCAGGACGGGGCCTGCTGCTCTGGTCACCCAGCGATTCCTGCGTGCTCAGGCTGCCCCAAGGAGGAGGAGGAGAGCACAGATCCGTGAGAGGACACCGCTGCTCCTGCTCACTCCTTTGTGGCCAAAGTCCCTGCTGGTCAGCTGGCTCTAAGGCCTGCTGCTGGGTTTGTCGTTAGCCTTCCTTCTGCTGTAGGCCTGTCGGTACCCGGGAGGCGGCGCTGAGCTAAAAGAGTTGGAGAAGGGCTGTTGTTGCAGTGTCTGCCACCCTGATGGTTACTCTCAGGCACCTGAGTCTTGTTTTTCCCCCGTAATTCAGTCAGCAGTGGCTGAAAACTTACTGCTCTTAAAGGGAGATTTTCTGCAGTAAGTTACAGCTGAGAGCTACTTCAGGAGGCTGCTCCGTACCTGTCAGTTGAAGTGCGTGGACTTCATGCTCGTAGCTGGGTGGCTTCAGAGCAGAGTGAACTCAGCTGTTGTCAGCAGTGGCTGAAGATCGAAGCCTGGGTGATTGTTCCCAACACTTGCAGTCAGGTGGAGGATCCTCACTGAGAAGCAGCCAGCCACACGCTGGACGTAAACTGTGCAATAGGAAGTTTGTCTGGACCTGCTCCCTTCTCTCTGCTCCTTCACTTCGTTCTTCCAGATGTGCTGTGGTGTGGCTTAACTGTGTGTGCGGTCATGAGCTGGACGTCTTGCTCTCTGCTGATGCGGCCATAACCATCATCTTTTCAGTACTGCGGAGGGTGCTGTGAGCATCTTTGTTAGCCAGATCTCACTGAAAAATGGGGAGAAGCGTTTGGTACTGCTGTCCTGTCGTTTCTCTTCCTCCGAGATTGTGGCTTGTGACCCATCCAGGGTTGGTTGCCTGCTGCCAAGTGAGATTTCTGAGGTCCTTGAGGATCTGATATGTGCTGGTGCGGAACGAAAGGGTGACCAGCTACTGGCAGAGTCGTTTTAACCTCTTGCATACAAGATCCTGGCTCGGCAAACACAGTCACAGTGACGTATATGAAGATGTTGGGTTGAGAAAAGCGTTTCCTGCTTTTGCAGGAGGAGTTGCATAGCAGAGAGCTTTCTCAACCACTTCTGTACCTTCCCTTAAGAAGCAAGAAGTACCTGATTGTTTCAAAGGAAAGGGCTAGGGTATTTTAACTCTGGCATCATTGGTCCTTCTCTTTGATGTCAAGAAAGATATGTATATTTTTAAATCTATCGGTAGCAGCTGTTACAAACGCATATGGCCCCATGAGTAGCCGAAATTGTTGTTCTGCACAGAGGTGCTGGATAATGCTGCAGTGTCAAGCCACCATGTCCCGGTAAGTCTTCCCTGTGACCTGTAACTGTGTGTTCACCTTAGGTCTTGTCGTGTGTGCGTTAGGAGGTCTTTAGCATTCACAAAGAGGACTTATTTTGAGTAAGTTTTCACTTTAAATGAACTTTTTCTTTCCTGTTATGTTTTGTTGCAGAGTTTGGATGAAGTAAGTAAGAGCGATATTGGCCGAAAGATAAAGGAAGGTGTGGAAGAAGCAGCAAAAACGGCAAAGCAGTCTGCGGAGTCAGTGACAAAAGGAGGGGAGAAATTAGGCAAGACAGCAGCCTTCAAAGCTATTTCTCAGGTACATAAGTGCTGTAGGACCCACTGCTGTGGACGCGGCTTATTAAGATGGAAGCTACGTGTGACTTCGTGCTGAGTATAAAATTAAATGCAAAACTCTTTTAGCAAGACCTTGTGAGCCGTTGGGATAAGCTGATAAATTCAGGAGATGTATTTTGCAGACCTAGTGGTCACACGACAGCCCTAGAAAAGCGTAAGTCTCAACTACTTGAATTTCTGCTGAAATGTGTTACTGGAAAAATTGGTTGCTGTGCTTGTGGAGTAGAGTAGCGAATGTCTTCTGTAGATGGGTACTAGTGGTACTCTTGGGAACAAACGGGCTTGCCAGTGTTCCCCTCGACTGGTGTCTCATGCCTGCTCTGAAGCTTGGCCTTAGCCCTTGTACGAGGAGGTACCAGGCCAGGCGGAGTATCAGTCACGTCAGTTCCCCTCTTTCTGTGTTTCTAATAAGACATCATCTGCTGAAGGTCACTTCTAGCCGTAGCTGCAGATCACGTTATACACCATTTTTTTTTCTTGTTTCTGTAATGAAACCTGTTATCTTACCCCAGCAGCCTCCTAATCTAAGAACAGTTTGTTCCTTCGATGAAGCAGGCTGCTAGGCCAGACCTTATAAGCAGGCAACGATTTTATAGAACCTTTAAGTAAATTATTTTGAGGCTTAAAGATTTGTTTTCCCTGTAAACAGATAAACCTTTTGCTTCATTGTCAGGTTTAACTGATGGACAGACCTTTTATAGGCTGTGACCAATTCTTGTAGCTTTGCTATACTTTCTAGTGTGTATGTAGAATTTAGAATATTCAGTCTCCTGCTTCAGAAACCCAAACACGTTATTTTAGAAGCTGTAGTAGCCTCATTTTGAGCTCCCCGTTGCTTCAGTATTTAGGAGATATTTATTTGTATAAACTAGAGCTTGGTGATATCAATGGGGGCTTGTGTCTTGTTCTCTTCTCTTCCAGGTCCCTTTGTAGTCAGTAGGAGCAGACTGAACGTTTGAGCTTTTTATTTGCTTATCCTTGATGTTTAGAGTCACTTAAATTCCAATTTCTGCTCCGTATCAGCTCTCTGGCATCTTTTCCATCTAGGCCCTGAGCACTGTTGTAACTTCAGGAGCCACGCTGACTTTGAGCTGGGGAGGATGGCTTGTGCTGGCAGAGCTGTGCTGGACACTTGGTGTGTTCTCCAGAAAATTCCTGCATAAAATAAAGTTGAAAAATAACAGCCCCCATAAAGCCACATGATGCTTTGGGCTGTGTAACCATGTTTTAAGTAAAAATGCAAATTGGGAAAAGCTCTACAGAGTTAGGTATAAAAACTCCCTTTCTGCCTGCATGTGTCTAGTTGTAGCAGGAAAGCGTGCTGCCTGGGCAGCAGGGCTTTTGAAGGGACTGTCGTTACAGAAAGTCCTGCTCAAAAGTTCAGGAATAGAAGCAGAGCAGCTGAGATGAAGGAGAAACACTAAAAATGCCTTTTAGTCCCAATCCTTGCTGAAGTGTATGACAAAAAAATCCCAACAATGATTGTGGTGGGATGCAGCTTCCTTTTGACAGAGCCTGAACTAAGGATGTAGCTGTTCACTGACGAGGTGTATGTCAGTCCAGATGTATCAAGGCCTTTTTCTTGATGTAGCCTCACCAAGAGGGCCAATATCTCCCCTCTCTCCTTTAGTATAAGCTGCACTGCTGTGATTTTTTTTTTCACATGTCTTCTCTGGCAAAACCCACTTCGCTTCGAAGCTATTTTCTCTGATAGAAGGTGTGTAGAATTTGATACAAAGTGAGGCCCCTTTTTGTTTTGGGGAAAGCAATACTTGTTTGTTTAAGCTTTGGCCTAGAACCTGGATTTTATTGACCATTCAGGTGACCTTTCAGTTAGTTGTTGATGTCCTGAAGTCTTTCTTCTCCCCTCCTTTTACCTGGGGTTTGTCATTCTGTCAGCAGCTGCAGGCTGCTCTTTGCAGCTGATATGCTTGCTGCCTTCTGACTTGATTTATCCCAGTTTCAACTCTGTAGAGGTTACCCCTTATCAGCTGCAAGGCTTGACTGTGTCCATAGCTTCTACTGTATTGGGGTTTTTTTCTTCAGGTTAATTCAATACGACATCCATTTGCTGTCCTAGACCGTTTGCTTCCTAAGCAGAAGACCTCGGTATTGGCGTGTTTGTCAGCAGACATCAGCCAAGAAGCATTTGCTGAGTGAGGGAGAGGAGAATAACTTGTGGTCTCTTATCTTTTTCTCTTTTCTTTTTTTTTTTTTTTTTTTTTTTCCTTCAACAGAAGCGATTTTCAGTGTCTGGGAAAGGGGGGAGAACAGTAAATCAACCTAATAGGGATATTTTCCTTTCAGGGAGTAGAAACCGTTAAGAAGGAAATAGATGAAAGTGTTTTAGGGCAGACTGGTCCTTACAAACGTCCGGAGCGACTGCGAAAAAGAACAGAATTCGCAGGCGAGAGGATTAAAGAGGAGCGAATATTTGAAGCTAATGAGTACGTATTGGATGTAATTTAGGGTGACTATTGCTGTGTAATTGTAACTTGGTAAAAACTTTAAAACTTAACCACAGATCAGGCCTGGATGGTTGAAATGCAGGTGCTGAAGTGAGGCTGTGGGGTGTGACCCAGCAGAGCAGGTAGGTCCGAGAGCAAATTTCCAGAGAAGTTGATGACACTGAATCTTCAATAGTGAAACGGGGCACTTAAAATGATGAAGCGGGTACATGATGCTTCAGCACGAAATGTTGACTTGTGCTGGTGTTACCTTTTCCCAGTTCTGACGTCTTGCTGTTGAATTAGGTTTGGCAGGACTGAGTCTGAGCTCCTTTGCTGTCTCTGCTGCCTTGCTCCACTAAGTCGAGTGTCATCTCTGCGGTGTGTCAGTCCCCCCGCATGCTGGGGGGGGGACACTGCTCCTTTTTATTCTCACGTGCTCCTTTTTATTCTCACTCCGTTGGGAGTGACTTGCTCACGAGTACCCGTGTCTTCTGCCCTTTCTAGGGAGGCCATGGGTGTGGTGCTGCATAAAGACTCAAAATGGTATCAGCAGTGGAAAGATTTCAAGGACAACAATGTGGTCTTCAATAGTAAGTGTTCCAAAGACATAGGAGTAGCACTTTATTCTCCCTGGTCTGATTCTTGCTGCGTTGGATCTAATGCCATCTGTGCAACTAGTCTCAACAGAACGCAAATCATAGCCGTTTTTCTTGTTGTAGCTGTTGCTGTGAGGTGGTGTGAAGGGGAGGTAGGCGTAGCTGACAACGTTGCAGCTTTTCCGAGCTGCTCCATCTGTGCTCGGACCCTTCCCCCAGTCAGGCATTGTTTTTGATCAGTCCCTGCTCCCTGTGGGTACCAAAACCTGCTTTTGACATCACTTAGAGAGAACTGAACTCTCTTTTTTTTTTTTTTTCCTATTTTTTTTTTCCTAGCTATATCCACTCTGGCACTGGGAAGAGGCCAGGGCATGCATGTGTGCATGTCACCTGGGTGAGGGCAGGCAGATCTCGTCTTCCTGGCCTTGAGTTTGTAACAAGGAAAATCTTGCCTTCAGTGAGCTGGTTTCTGTTGTCGTCTGCTTAGTGGGACTTTGCTTCCTTTCTGTTTTTGTTGCAAAACCTAAAAATACCGAGTATCTGTACTGCAGAGGGTAATGGCTTTTGATGGTTGTCTAGAACTTAATGTTTCTGAAAGGCGTAAAGCAGCCTCGGACCAGAGTCCCTCAACAAATCAAAATAATCACGGCAGGTGTACTGCAGGGTAAACGACTTGTTAAGGAAAAAAAGACTGTGTGAAAGTGCAACGTGTAGTTAACCTTGGATTGCGTTTCTTCCCAACTTCTTTGAAAGTGGAGCTCCCTGGGAGGTATCCAGGAATGGGTTTTTACATCCCATAGGTTAGCCTTGCCAAGGAGAGATGGTCGTAGCTCCTAAAACTCCCCGCATGTGGCATCCTCCGTTCCCGTGCCGCCTGCAGGAGTTCTGTGCATTCTCTAGGTTTTAGGTGTTATTTCCAAGCCTGCGGTTTTGTGTGGCTGCAGCAGGCTCTGCGGGGTGTGCTCTGCCGGGTGTGCTCTGCCTTTCTGCACCCCCTGCCCCAAGAACGCCGTGTGTTTTGGAAGGAGGATAAACTTCAGGGCAGGATCCCAGTTGTTAATGGACGTGGTGGGAAGAAGCTTCCCTGCAGGGCCCATGATCCCGCAACTACCTTCCGCAGTTCTGGTCCATCTGGTGGTGTCCAGAGACAGATAATGGGTTGTTTGAGCCCTTAGTTTGTTGTGACAATGGCTGCTTTAATGGCTTTTTTTTTTTTTTTCCTTCACCCCCTGCCCCTCTTTCTGCCTTTGAGAGTTCTCCTTCCCCACCAATGACTTCTGTAGCGTTGTGACATGCTTGCCTCGCTTTCTTATCAAGGTTGAGAAGTACATAGAGCTGCTTAAAAGCCGCATCCTCACTGATGTCTTGCTATTTTATTAAAAATTGGCAGGGTTTAAGCTTATTCTTGATTCCTGCCCCTGGTTAAACTTTCTGGTGTTGGTTTCATGTCCTGCTACCCCCTGTAGCAGACTGAACCGAGGGCTGTAAGCAGGCTGTTGCTGGTGTAAGCAAGTCTAGTCCATTTTCTGTCTTAAAATCTGCATAGAAGGTCTAGCCAGAGTTTCTGGCAGCTGAAATCAGAGAAACCATCATTCTCCTAGCGACAGTTATTGATAGTTAAGAACGTTGTGGGAAGATGGGAAAAGCAACTGCTGAAATTGAAACTTGTTCATCAACAAAGAGCTTTAGAAGGGAACTAGCAGGTTTGATCTGCAACCCGTAGCATGTTGTTTCCTCATTCAGGAGTGTAGTGGAAGGCCTCTGCTGCTCATGTCTCCTCTCCTTTCAGGGTTCTTTGAAATGAAAATGAAGTATGATGAAAGTGATAATGCGTTCATTCGAGCTTCCAGAGCCGTCACAGACAAAGTCACTGACTTAATAGGTAATGTTTCATCCTTGCTGTGAAAGGGCAGTTCCAGCCTTTTAGCTCTGCTCCTAGCGACTGTGCGTGCTGTTGTCCTCCACGTGTTACCAACTTTGGGACAGATTTCAGAGCTTTACAATATCTTGCATGGATCGTGATCCAGTATCATGCCGCGTAGCAGCCTGCTGCTGGATCAGAAGTGCAGTGCGATGACAAGTGCTTGTATGGGATAAATCTCAAGCATAACCTGAAGTCTGCAGTCGTTCCCGGGTGACTGTTCCTTCCCTCTGGTGTCTAGCCAAAGGTCTTTCTCTTGTTTTTCTGGTGACAGTTGTTGTGCCCCCAGTCTCACGGAGTTGTTTTATTAGGTGGCTTGTTCTCGAAGACAGAAATGTCTGAAGTTTTGACAGAGATACTCAAAGTGGATCCGTCCTTCGACAAAGACCGTTTTTTAAAGCAATGCGAGCGGGATATAATCCCCAACGTCTTGGAGGTAAGGTGGGGGTAGAGTATGATGCCTTTGTTTTGTTTTGTTTTGTTTTTTTTTTTTCTTTTACTGTAACATGGAAGATTTTTCTTCTAGTTTTCTGATGCTGAAGCTGGGACAGCGTTTGCTTCTCAAGCATCATCTTTGCACAGAACGTGAGGTAACCTTGGGAAAAGGCAGTTGGATCCCACATAACAATTGAGTTTAAAACCATATTTCGTAATTTAGTAGACTAGCAAATTTTTTTTCTGGCCTTGAAGACAGAACTAACCATCTTCTCCCGTGAGAAACAACGTGGGCATCAGAGGGATCAAACTGAAGTAGGTGAATGAACGGTACTGGGAAAATGATGATATCAACTATTGATAAGGGAAGGAATGTACTATGTCCTGCTGGGTTGGAAGTGATCTGTAACTGCTTGGCTGGGAAGAAGACCAGGTCATGACAAACAGTTTAGTGAAAATATTGCTGGCACTGGTTGAGGAAGTATGTGGAACTTAGTATTTGTAAAGACTAAAGTATAAAACCACTCGGAGGATAGCACTGATGAAGGATGTGAGCTCAAGTATAAATGGATATAGTTCCTGTCACTGTAACAGTATGTCAGAAAGACAGAGTGAAAGTAGGGGATTTGGAAAAGTACAGCAGAAACTGTTTTGAGAGATTCGTATGAGACTGGAAAAACTGAGGCTTGAAGAGACAAACGAATGCTGAGAGCGAGCAAAGTGTTATTTTCTCATCCTACAAGACAGTGCAGCGAGTGATCGTGTCTCACACTGATAGATGCTAATACACATGCAGAAATGTTTATGATAGTCGTAGTCATGAGGTAGCATTATAGGGTGAATGAAAAATAATTCGATGCCTACAGATACAAACATCCAAACCGACGCATCGTCAGGTTTTTGTCACTGCTGTCTTTGTAGTGACTGACTTGTGTATCAGGTCTGTGCCTGGAGCTGTAACGTCGACAGGGAAGTAAGACAGACCTGTCACGGTGAATCTGCTCCTCCTAACGGTGCCACGTCACTAAGGCACGCTGCGAAAAATGGGCTCTCGACTTCAGCAGAAAAAGCTTTTCAAAGGGGAGGGGTTTTTTAAACCATAAGCAGCCGGCTTGCAGACGCCATCGTGTGCTTTGTAGGCACTACATTGAAAAATACCCTGCCGTGTGTAACGGACTTTATTTTGAAATCTGCTGAACTCCCAGCATCTGTGGTGTTATGAATTCCAGGTGTTTATTACACCGTGTTTTAGAGGTGTAATGAACTTTAATTTACATTTTAAACTTTCCTGAGTTGTGGTGTGATTCTTCTGTTCATTCTGTTCCCTGCTCCGTAGATCTGCTTCTGGTTTGTGCTCCTGCTTCTGTGAGATCCCGCCTCCCAGCATTTCTGGGTAGTGTGCATTCTGCTGGCTTTTTGGACAGGAAGGTTTAAGATAGATTTTTAGCTCAATTATTGAAAGGCTTATGTACATTTGACTCTACCTGTGTGTTTATAGAAGTTCTTACTGCTCTGAAGCTCCTGTCCTTCTCCAGGGTTTCACAAGATGTAGGATTTAAAGCAGCTTGCTGCTGAAAGTCCTGATAATTTCAGCTCTCTGATATGGGGGTTGTTTTCAAATGTTCATATTTTATTTGGTTTTCCTTGCTTAGGCTATGATGTCTGGAGAGCTTGATATCCTCAAAGACTGGTGCTATGAAGCGGTAAGTAGAGCTGCTAAGAATGTCCGAAAAGGTTGTGATTATCCCTTGTCAGCACGTGCATGGGGCTTTCCTGGCCTGCAGGCTCTCCAGCTGCTGTTCTTGTGATGTTGCTTATTGCTTTGTCCAGCTGCTTCCCCACGTAACATGTTCATGCTGTGAAACACTAACGCAGTCAGTTGTACGTGCTGGTTTCTGGAATGGTCTGGGTATGAGGGAAGAGCTGTTTAGAGACCGATAGCAAATTGGGAGCTAAGCTCAGACTGGTCTGCCTAGCTGCAGTTCTGCAGTGCCAGTGGATGGGCTTTAGCAGGGCCTGTATCCCAGGTGTGGGGTGAGAAGGTGCAGAGATGTTTGACCCCAAAAGGCGGCACTTTTCTTCTTGCAGAGTCAAGTTGTCCCGGGAGCCACTACAAACGCAGCTCCCAGCAAATAATCCTGGCAGGCTGAAGATTTTTCTGAAATTGCAGCGTAGATCATCTGCAGCCTGGATAGTCTCGCTGCAGAAAACTGAATTTTGTTTTGTTGGACCAAACCTGAGTTTGGTTTTGTGCTGGGATGGATTTTCAGTATTGGATCCACTGCTTGAAACGGTGACTATGAATCGGTTGCAATTCAGTGGTGGCGTTATTGTTCACTGAACTTCATGAAAGCGAATCCTTTCCTGAGAACACAGGTGGACCTTTGTTCCAGTGTTCACTCTGCTCCAAAATAATGGTGCTGTAGGCGACGCAGAGCCGTACTTACTCTGTTTCTGAAGATTTTATCTGCTTAAAGTGAAGGTTCTCCTTACTGATCGCCACCACCAGAGGGCTGGAAATGCACATGCTGGAAGAGGGAATTTTTTGTATTTAATTTTTTTGTTGTCGTTAGTTGTGATTAATGTCTTCGTAACCATATTGCAGTATGTAAGAGTGAGACATTTAGAGCAGTCTGAAAGTAGAGTTCTTTATTGGTTCAAGCAACCTGTGAAATGACACCATAGAATTCCTCTCAAATCTCTAGAGGGAAGTAGCAGATTCACTGCAGTTTGTAAGACAAAAAGCAAATCCTTCTAAGCTAGCTGTGGTTATAAATTAAGCTCATAAGTCAAGAACCATCTGTAAAATAAGCCAAGGGAGGAAATGAGAGTCCTATTAATGTGAATCCAGGAGATAAAAGCTCTTGAACAGAATCATACTGCAAGCGCTAAGCGTGTGATACTGATCACTAAAGTGTTGGAATACAAACCAGTAAAGCAAAAACTTATTTAAGTGGCAGGTATACCAGCCGAGCTGCAGGTTGCTCTCAGCTCACTGACTCAGGTGTAATTTGTGGTTCTTAGAGCTGTGTCTGCCTGCTGTCCTCAGAATCCCTGATCTGTAACTCCAGCTTCGCTCTAGTGACTTTGCCAGTAACTTCTGCAGGATATTTGTGTTTCAATGCTTGTGATGAAGGTTAGAAGATCCGTGGTGAGGAGGCAGGTAGGGACTGCCTCCTGTTTGTTCGATACCTGCCAAGAATGTGGTGATAATGCTGGAAGCAAGCAGAAGTTCACTATGCCCAACAACAGTTCTGGATGCATAAATAATGAAGCATATGTGCATGTGCCTCAAAGGAGCCAGGAAATGCTGGTCTGCCTCCAGGGTCTGGCTGGGGATTAGGAAAAGAGCTTGGTTCCCAGACTGTTTCTCCTTGTCTGCTGTCAAATCAGAATCAGAAGTGCCTTGGCTATTGGGAGCACTCAGTGTACATACATCATGATGTGCATGATGGATCTCCTGTTCCGGCCAGGGGGGGTGGGATTTTTAGTGAGAATTTGATTATGTGAAGCCCAGAGCGTTTGATGTAGCTGTTTGATACCTTGCAAGACATAGGTGTTCAGCTTATTTGCAAAAGCCTGACTTCTACTCTTAGCTTTTTGGGTGATTCTTTCGAAGCAGAAAATCCCTTTTCCTTTGTGACAGAACAAATTCAAACGTGTAACACGAGTTTGTTGCTTCCTTTAGACTTACAGTCAGCTCGCTCATCCAATCCAGCAAGCCAAAGCCATGGGTCTCCAGTTCCACTCCAGGATTCTTGACATTGACAACATCGACGTGAGTGTCCTTTTCTGTATTTCACCTTGGGGGATGAATTAGAAACTCATGACCTGAGGGGGGGGTGTTCTTCTTTGCTCTGACTGCTGTTTTTTTTGCCTCGTGCTACTCTGGTATTTGCCATTGCTGCTGCTGGAAAGGAGAGCTGAAGGGACAGATGAACTGTGTGATGAAGCCTAAGTTACAGCGTTGTGGTTTATCTCCTCTCTGCCAGGGCGTGTTTCTGTTGGAACCAAGCAGTATGGAATACTTGTCCTGTATTCTACTCAATGAAATCACAACCTGAATCTGTTCAGACGTAAAACCAACTGCAGGGTCATTCCTGTAGGATCAGAGAACACGGAGCTGGTTAATAGGGGTCTGAACGCAGCAGTGATCTGGTCCAAGGTCCTCTTCCGAGGGCTGTTTTGCCTTTTGGTCTTGGTAGGCTTCTCATTTTCTCTCATCCATCTGGGTTCAGAGGAAGCCATTCCTGCCTCTGCGGTAACTCTTGAGTATTAACTGCAAGCGTGTGCCAAACGAGCAGGAAAATTTCTGTGGCACCTGCAATTCTCTTGATTATCTTCGGCAATAAATAACGTGGTCTAACAAAATTAAGGCGATGGAAGTAATAAACAAGATTGCTGTTTTCTAAGCATCTTATTTAAATCAAAGGTTTTTCTAGGGTCTAGGAGACTCGATTTCATTGTATGCCAAATAACTCCTTTCCTTGGTAGGTGTTCATTAGTATGGAGCCGTGCACAGATTCTGAGTGGTGGCTGGAAAGACATTTCATTATTAACTTGTTTTAGACATCTGTATTTTTGAATGAAGTTTCTCAAGAAAATGACATCTTAGCTGGAAAATGATTGATATGGAACATAAACGAGTGCGGTTCTTGTTGTGCTGTGTTGCAAGAAAGGGGGATAAAGGGTGTTCTGTGTTTAAATTTTTAAATGCGTTTCCCTAGAGGAGATTTATGCGAGTATGTTGAGTGATCTCATCCAGAAAAACAGTTCAGTAAGTCTGGAAAAAAAAGCATGTAGAAGATTTAAGGGAATTCACATGCTGCAAAGTTGGCAGCATTAGAATTAAAATCAAGTCTTTCAAACATAAGCATCTGAACTCATGTTCCAGGTACTTGCTTAAGCACTCTGTGCTTCACTGGACAACTACTGCCTTCAAATTTAACGGAATTTTAGGTCCTTGGTATTTATTAGGACTATTTATTTGGCTGTCTAAATGTAGTTTTAAGTATGTGACTTGTGAAGCAGGGTTTCTGAACTTAGTGTGGGAGGAGTGATATAAATACTGTCTCGATTACAGAGGTTTTTTTGGATCATAGTGCTAAAAATAAAGCAGTGCTGGTATGGAAGTCTTGGTGCCTATAAGGGCTACAGCCTAGTCAGTGTTACAGTCCTCCTCCTCCTTGAAACCCACGTGCAAATGTATGTTGTCAGATTACCGGTGCCAAGTGGCGTCATATAAAATGTCTGTCATGGAAACTGGGCTGACAAAGAGCTGTGAGAGCTGGTTTTTGAGACTTGGGTGGAAGGCGTTCTGCACTGCTGGATGAGTCAGACCACTTCCAGAAACGCAGCGGGGACTGGGATGGCGTGTTACTGCAGAGCTAGGGAGCTGATTCCCTCGGATTAGGCAAAGGAGCGTTGCAGTGGTGCTGAGTTTTCCTCAGGGGAGAGTCAAATACAGATAGATATATAGATAGATAGATAGATAGATAGATATATAGATATATAGATATATAGATATATAGATATATAGATATATAGATATATAGATATATAGATATATAGATATATGCCTTTGTGAATTATGGCATGGTCCTGTAACTGTCTGTGGTGATACAGTCTTTATTATGTGATAAAATGCAGTGTTTTTGGAGCAGTCTGTCACGTACAGAAGAGTACAATCATGCTACCTTAAGTTTGAGGTGGTACAATTATCTTTTTGGGTGACATACCCAGTAACTCCAGAGTTATTGAAGAGCAAGATACTCTGTGGCGTACTGCATTCCCACAGAAGAGGCAGAAAGGTATTTTTTAAGAGCAGAGCTTTGGGAAACAGAACTTAATTTTCCATTCCATGCATGTCAGTTAATAAGTTCTTTAAATATTTAATGGAGTGACCTTAGAATAGAGAAAAAATTCCTGTCAAACAGAATGTTCTCACCTTGAAGTCTTTCTGTTACTTAGGTTTTTTTATCTAGTTCAGCACAACTTCATGTCGAAGATTCATTTAAAAGCAAAAAACTTCAGTTGATGTACTTTCTACAGAAAGTGTAATTTTATGAAGAGCAGGGTTTCTTTTGGTTTTGGCTTCTAATTTGGAAATAACGGAACAGAGCTTGTTCATGTTTCTCAGGTTTTTAGATTTGGAAAAATTATGAAAAACTTCAAAACAATTTTGGGAAAGCTTTTAAGTACAGGGAAAGTTTCCAGGAAGATACTTTGCAATAATGTCTGCAGCATCTGTATTAGCAGAGCAGGTATAACCTGATTAAAATAACTCGATTCAGCTCTGGGAGAAGATGGGATGGTGAGCTGTGTCAAGCCATAGCAGTTGTGTCAAATACTCGATGTTTTTACGTTAATTTGCAGAAATGGTTTTCTAACGGAATTTTCTTTCCTCGCAGCTGGCTATGGGGAAGATGATGGAGCAGGGACCAGTATTAATCATCACTTTTCAGGCTCAGGTCGTGATGGTGATTAAGAACCAGAAAGGGGAAGTGGTGGAAGGGGATCCGGTAAGTGCTGCGCGGTGGTTTCGCTGGGTCCCCCGCCGGCCCTCAGCTGGGCTCATCTAATTCCCAGTGAGGATTGGAGCTGGAGCTGTGACCACCAGCAGATCTTTCCCTTCCAGTTGCTGGCGTGCCTGGCCAGCCCGCTCCCTGCCGGCAGTTACCGCCCCGGAGTTCTGCTCCCCCTGGCACCCTGTGGGACAGCACTGTGTTGTCCTGCTGTCGATCAAAGCTCCATCACAAAGCTTCCACCTCATCCTGTTCTTTTTCTCCCTCGCTTTTCCTTCCATAAGGGGCGCTGTAAGAGCACGAAGATGTTGGGCAAACAGGGTGGGAGCTGGAGCTAAGTCATTTGCAGGAGATGGGGAAACCCACTGAGTTAATGTTTTTGGCTACTACCTCACTACTCCAGTACAAAACACCTTACAGCTCCACAAGCCTTTCCCTCCACAAAACTCCCCCATATCCAGTTGTATTAAAGCTCTGTAGAGTACAGGCTTCTAATGGGAGCCTCTGACACAGGGTCATTTGTGCAGCAAATCTCTGGCATCGCTGTGGATTGTACGTCGCTGTGGTTTTGCTTTTAACACCGCGAGTCCAGCCTGTTCTGCTGCGAGTGCTGCTCAACTGAGCCCGTCAGACGTACCCACGGAATGTGCTTGTTACCAGAGTTAATGACACGGCAGGCTCGAGGAGCCCGTGCGTTTTCTGGAATACTTCTGTTCCCAAGTGGCTCGCTCTCCAGACAGCTCCGGCTTGCGTTGTGTCGGTAGCTGAGTGATGTATAATGGGGGACACTGTGAGATGCCTGGAGCTGGCAGTTTCGAGCAGGCTTTCATTGAAATTAATACATGCATTTAAGAAATATTGGCTTTTTGCAACCATTCTCTTTAATCCAGGCTGTAAGTTTACCAAAAAAGGGACTAATTTTAATGGTAGGGCCCATCTGGGCTGATTTACAACCTGTCACGTCGACTGCAGGGGAGGAACAGCTGATATCGTGATTTCTTGCGTTAAATTACTGCGTTCCTAGAAGATAGATATTGATGTGATAATTATTGAACAGGATATCAAAGTCTGTTTGCTGTCTGATTTCTCTGGAGCAGCAATAAATCAAGGAGATGCATTAAAATTCTCCATTGGAAACAAAACTTCAGCTTTAATCAAACGTCAGGCGCAGGCTGGCTGGTAACTGTGATTTGGTGTTAACTGCTGAGCTGCTCCCGCTGAGTATCGAGCAAATGACGTTCTAGGGAGAAGGAGCCTCAAGTTGTGAACTCTCTGAATAGAAATCATACGCTTGTAATTGCTGCGGTGTTTTACCTAGTTGCAGTTGTTCTGTTTCCCGCTGCTGGGCTGCAAGCTGGGATGAGGGGAGACCAGGCAGCCTCTGGTGGGGTCGGACCCGGTGTCGGGGTGGTTGTCTTGGTTTGAAAGACAGGTGTCTG